TCTGATAAGAACCGGGGAGGCCCAACGTTTCGGACAGTGTGCTCTGTCCGTCGTCAGGAGACTCAAAAAGAGATATTGCATGGTGCTTACCGCAAGCTTTCCATCTTAGACGTACAATGTACATGTACATACATGTATACGACTGCATTTATAGACATGCAGCTTTAAAAAATAATCTAAAAATGCTACACACGTGTAGTTGACTAATTCAGATTACATTGTGTAAATTAAACACCTGTACGTACCGGTATGAACATACATGTACATGTGTAAATACTCTGATAATCTGTGCATGTGTACTACCGGTACATATACGTGTAGCACACTCTGAAGGTGTACATGTAGTAATATTCTGGTCATAAATGCTGATCGTTACATTTCAAGTTTTCAGTCGTCTAATCTATAAATCTCCCCAAGTACGATATTACATATACATACAACATGATGGCACTAAATGCATATATACCGGTAAATCTCAACTAACTTTCCTAGTCTCACAAGGCACCTTTAAAGTGAACCCAGAATCTTCTCCTTTCATCTTATATCTTTCCCACAAGAAAAAAAAGCAGAAGGACTAATCCAAGCTCATTTCAGCCACCTGCAATTTCAAAAGTGAGTTTCTGAAAAAGAAGAAGACATGTTTGCAAATCATAAACCGTGCCTTGCACACTACGGTGTCTTTGCAGCCCCTGTTCATTGACAAAAAAATTCATCACTCTACAACGGAAAACGTCACAGACAGAGTGGCACCAATGTCTTCCACTTGGCAAGACAGCCGTTGACTCGAGAGATGCAGTAGGCTGTGGTCCGGTGACCGTGGCCTTGGCAGTGAGGATAAAGGAAGATTGAAGTTGACGCTCAGCCACAGTTTGGGGGAGGGGGAGTTTACAGGGGGCCCGTTGCATGTGTTACGAGTGAGAAGTATGCATTAGGAAGTCTTGTAAGGCATTTAATGTCACTTTACCAATACTTCTAACCCAGGTTGAGCAATGTCTTCAATACACTGCCACTGAACATCCATGGTATCTATTCTCCTGTCGTATCAAACTTTTTACAACACTTCAAGTAGCGAAAAGTTTGTGCACATATTTCTGTGTCCGGAATAATGTTTATGTAAATACATGTATGCTTGGTTTCCATACATGTACATGTACTGGTCTGTCCTTGAGTGGCGTGTCCGTAGAAAATATATTACAGCTCCATGTTTCCAACATAGGGTACATACAATACACTGTACACACATTTACATGTATACCAAACAAACATTGTGAAGACTTGTACACACACTACACAAGCACAAAATACATGCTTGTCCTCAACTGCCCTGAGAGTTCTAAAAGGACTGTGGACATGAGCAATGAATTGCAGCCAACCAGTCAGGTAACCAGCCTACCCGTACACGTACTGGTAGTCTTCACACAAGACGTTTGTTTGGGATGTTTATGGTGGGAGTGTGGAGCTGTGATATACTAAGTGTTTTCCACAAATAGAAATAGGTTAGAAAATTGGCTGGTTGCCCTAGCCTACTGTTCATGAGTGAAAAGACTAATTTTTTTTGTCTTATGCTTATCCACAATACAATGGAGTGTTTGGGTTTACAGCATGCTGGACAAGGTTATAGGGATAGCTCATCAAGCCATCACCATGATTGGAGGGGGAAAAAAAACAAGTAAAGCTGCAATTTGAAGGGAATTAAATGAACAGATTAATTCGGACAATAGCAATGTTAACAGTGCCTTTAATTTGGCCCACATGTACATTTTCCAGCCAAGCATGCAAACTGTGCTGGTTCACTATGTTGCTTGGATGGATTGATGATGCTTTGGGCAACCAGGCAACTGTTAATTCCATATCCTGCATGCCTCATGGAGAACTAGTGGATTTTGAGAGGGTACATGCATGTGAACGCAGACATACATGTACCGTACATGTAACAGTGCAATTACAACATGAAGGCATACCTAGCATCAGTATATTTCACTGAAAAATGTGAAATGTATTCATAAAATCACAAGAGCATAATTGCCTCTTTTAGTCTTAATGTCTCAGATTTCAGGAATCAAAGAAGGGAGCAGCATTCTGCATTGCCAGTTAACAGAAAAAGGTACAAACACATGTAGAGTGCTCGTACCTGTAAATGTATACATGTACACAAAACATCTATATGTACTTGTACTGTGCATAGAAAACAGACTGCACTTGGTCATGCCCATGCATACTGTATGTGTATGTAAGTATTAGAGAGAAAGGCTGTGTCTATCGTCACTTGGCTTTGGCTCAAAATAACACAGCTGATATACATGTAATGTGCATGACGGTAGCCACCAAAAAATGGCTTTATGCTTTTCCGATGAACATGTATAATTTTTACCCATGGTTCATTATGTAAAGTGGATGTGGACCATGTTTTCCTTTACTTCCTGCAGTCCCTACATGTACATGTACACTTACACAATGTAATTGGAATCTCCCTCTATGTCTCACCTGGAATATCTCATCAATTTCTTCAATCACTCGATCTGCTGTGATCACTGGGTCTTGGTCTTCGGGTGGTGTAGAGGACAAAACCATGGAATGCATGTCAAAACACTGGGTCAGTTCATGGTCCTCAGGCAAGTCCAGATTGTCACCATTCCTCTTCTAGTCAAATGCAGACAGAGAGAGAGAGAGTGAGGGAGACAGAAAAAAAATTGTTTGCACTGATTCAAACTTGCCAATACTTTATCAATAATTCCACTATCAGGTTACTTTCAATTAAGTATGGAACACCTGAGGTAATGAGCAGGTGGCAGTATGACAGTGCGGCTGAATGTACACGCATACATCATTGAGGGTATCATTTCATTTACATGTACAGTACTTACATGTCCATGCACCGGTACGTGTACATGAGTTCCAGAATAATTACTACAAAATCTTTACATTACAAAAAAGGGGCATAAGCCTGCAAAAAATGACAGACTTGTACAAAATGCACAAAGCAAAACCTTGTAAAATGTGCTATGTACATGTATGCACATGTACTTTTTGCATGACTTTAAGATTTACCGGTAGGTTACAGAATACTAGTATATAAATACTTGTACAATAAAATACAAAATTTTGCATGCAAATCTGTGCATTATGTGCATGCACCGGTACGTGTACATGTATGCACAGTACAAGCAGGATAACTTTACGATATAATGTATCCAAAAAAGGGATAAAAAAGGGCAGCTGAAGTGGCGCTTTGTCTTCAACCTAATGTATTAGTAACATGGACTAGAACGAACCAAATTTTCTCACATCAAATTGCAAAGACTGAAAGCCACCAAACATGTACAGCCTCTATGTAACACCACACTCTTATAGTTACACAACAACTAGAGTGCAAGGCATCCATACATTCTGAGTGCTGTTTTTTTATAGGGTTTGGGATCAAATTAAAGACGGTTAGACCCAAGTGCGTCAGAGATGCATGGACGCAGAAGGAGCTGTTTTGTACCCACTGATGGTCAATATCTGTGCGGGGTATCAAAATCATGAAGAGCCACAGACTGTGCTTATTGAATGGCCGCTCACACTCAAAACACACATAGGAAGGGAATTACAGGGTATATGTACAATGTATAAGTGTCTCATGTGACAGAGTAAACAGCAAACAGAAAATGAGAATGATGTAAAAGAAATTCATTGAGACACATATACGTACATTTGTACATTTGACAAAACTATACAGTACATACCGGTATTGTACATCTGAAGAGAAGATTATGGGAACATAATACAACATATAAAACAGATCACCCTTTTGTTTGATACACAGTAAAAATTTGATAATTCCCTTTTAAAAATCTTTACCAAGACTGCAAACTCGAGTGCAAGATTTGACAAAAGAAAATTAAATACAGGGAGACGTACCCATCACAAGTACATGTACGGGTACTGTACTATCCACCTCGAGCTGAATTGCACCCCAAATCAGTGAAAGAAAGACAGATGGTTACAACTGGGTTCTTGCACGTGTTCTGTACACATATACTATACATTCAGGAATAAGTTAGTTGTGCATATTCAGCGTGCTCTGCGTCAAACGCGCATATACTTGCGCGCCTATGTGGTGAGTTGGTACCAAAAGGACCGTCAATTTCATTTACAAACACGCCCTCTTTTGTTCTGCTCGGAGTGGATACCTACATGTATCCCTGACACTGATTACACAACTGAAAGATTTGGCAGTGAAAAAAAAAGCAATCAAGAATTAATCACAAACAGAACAAAAGTAACAACACATCATAAATCAAACCCAAAGTTGAGATTTGATACTTTTCATGGTGGAGGTACTGTAGCAGGTAAACTAGATACTCTTGGTCTGCAGTAGCACCATGCATATCTCTCTTTTTGAGTACATGTACATGTACATGTACATGTATGTGGGGTTCTGAAAAGAACCCAGTGTTACTCAACATTTCAGACAGTATCTGTCTGTCGTCAGGAGACTACCCAAAGTTCTGGAAAACCTTCAACATGCTCAGCTTTTGGAAGGTGATATTTAAGGGCAATATGCCTTAAATTTCCATTAGGCAACATGGCTTTTACAGACAAAAAATTAGCTGGTTGTGATTAAGGGAGCACTCCTATTTAATCATACCTTGGTACATAAGTTGAGTGTTGGCATGTGCAGTTTCCGCGTGTGTGAGTTCTTCCAGTCTAGAGGCATGACTTGGCCCATGTTATCTGTCACTTTCTTCCATATTCTGTTGACAAATATAACAACCAAAATTAAGCAACTATATAGAGCAAAGGCTGAGTGCCCAAATTATTAGTTTCATCTGCATGATGGTGCGTGTATGTTGAGGTCCTTTCGGTTAGTAGTATTAGACCTGTATACCATACACCCTCCATCCTTCCACATCCCCAACCTCCTCCAGGATAGCACAACCTCAGTCGTCCAAAGTGTGGTCTTAGGAAGGGATAATGACCACTACTTCAATCCTTCAAAATCAATCCATCCTGATGGAAGATTCTGGAGGATTGAGAAAAGCAATTATCATTCCTTACAATCCTCCTATCGCACACAACCTGCATGTACATGTACATGTCAAAAGCAGCTACAGTTAAAACACAAATAATCAACACATCAAATTCACGTGTACATGTACATTTAACCATCTTCATATATGTATGTACATGAAAACATGTAAATGTACTGTACAGTACTCAGGCAGGCAAAAATTCCAATAATGTGACAACCCAAGTATGCACATGTAGCAAGATTCATACATGTAATTCATCTTGTGATACCTTGTCACTTAAGACTTGCAAGGCAATCCCAATGATGTGCATGTCTGATGCATGCCATTTGATCAGGTGGCACCTAAAGTATTTAATGACTATTCAGGGGAAAGATAACATGCTCAAATCACTGGACTTTGGAAACTTATTGGAAAGTGCTGATGTTGCAATATTACATTTAAATTTGGCATATCTGGTCTAGCCCTTGAATGGTTTACATCGTACCTGTACAGTGTTTATCCAGTAGAAGTCAACATATATTCTTATACGGGGTGACACAATGGACAAACATAATCTCACGTCTGGCGTACCACAAGGTTCTTGTCTCGTCTCGGACCATTGTTATTCACTCTGTACCGTACTCCTAAGGACTGTTTGATGTCATTCAATACCACTTACAATGTATCCAATACTCTGTTATGCAGATGGTACACAATTGTATTTGTTGTTTAAGCCTAATAGTGTTATCAATCAAACGGAAGCTATCTCCACGATGGAAAGTTGTATTAGAGATGTTAGAGCTTGGATGTTTCATAACAGACTTATGTTATGTTAAGTAAAACACAGTTTATCTGTCTTGGGATGAAACAACAATTGTCTAAGATCAATATTCCTTCCATTGCTGTTGTTAGGAATCTTGGTTCATGGTTTGATTCAAATCTGTCAATGTACACTCAAAAGTCTCCTCTGCTGCTTTCAATCATCTTCATAACATTAAATGTATATTTATCAACAAGATCACTTACAATTTTAATCCACGCAATTGTAACCAGTTGTCTTGATTAATGAAATGCATTACTCTATGGATTGCCAAATTGCCAGTTGTCCAAGTTACATAGGATTCAAAATGCTGCAGCTCGGCTGGTTACGAATTCTCACCGATGGTGCAATGTAACGCTTATCCTCAGCTTAACGCTTATTCCTGTTAAGTTTAGGATTGATTTTAAGATTTTACTCATGGTTTTTTATATGTTACACGGCCTACATGTATCTTCCATATATTTAAGCCAGTTAATTACTGTCAGAACTCAGCGTCATTACAACCTCAAGAAAATCCTAATAGCAAAGTGTTGGCTACAATAGGTAGCCGTACTTTCTCTTTAGCCGCTCCTACGCTGTGGAACAATTTACCAGCTGGCATTAGAAATGTGAACACACAAAGTCTTTGTAAAACTAAACTCAAAACTTTTCTTTTTTGGCAAGCATTTGATGGCATGTACATGTAATGTAGTGTGGTTTTTAAATATGTGTATCTGTTTAGTTCTATTGTAACTCTTCTGTATAGATAAAATTCCCCATCTTTGCAGGTTTTTATCGCTGCCTTGCTGTTATACTGCCTGACAGTGGGTGTGGTTCCTGTTTCATGACTACTGTGAAAGTCTAGGGGCATGCTATAGTACACTTGTGTGTAATGTAATATGTCATGGGTAATTGTTATTTTTATTTGGTATCCCAATGAATTTCTGTTTGCTTGCTGTTGTATTTTTAGGCACTTATTAATTACATATCTTGCTTATTTTTACTATGCAAATTTATCTGGAATTTTTTTACTTTGTGTGTACTACGCTCTTGAACAGGCTGATCATGGAGGGGGTACAATGCACTGTAAGCGCAATAAATTATTATTATTATTTAAAAATTGTTGCCTGCGATGTACAATGTAGGGTCCATGGTGTTTTGTACACCCAAGGGAGCAAATGGCACTTTTGGCTTCGCCCAGAGTGCCATTTACTCCTTCAGGTGTACAAATCCATAGACCCCATCACTGCAGGAAGCAACTGTTTTGTTATACCGGTAACATGGTTACACAGTAGATTTCACTGGATTGGTCTTGCATACATGCAAATTCACTTGCAAAATAAATTAAAACACTTGACAGATCGAAACACTCGAACAGTAAATGATGTAATCTAAGAAATCTAAGTTTTATTACAACCTAGTTTACCAGCCTGGGATTCATAAAGAACTGGGTTTTTTGTCCACTGATTAAATTTCAAGACATTATTTACCCCAAATTTCATTGAAAAGTGTTGAAAAGATTGAAGAACAGATGAGAAGAGACAGTGGCATGAGCGTTTAATATACAGCAATGACGATGGCAGCAGAAACAGTGATCAGAGCATACTCATGTTCCATGACCATTGCTGGGTGCACACACAGGGTCTCTGTCATGATCACAGTGAAAACAGTAGCACATGCGAACAGACAGTGCTTTGATGTTCCCCACACAGTGCATATCTCTTACAGTAACTGGCGCGTAGTACCAGCATGGCTATCCCCCCCCTTGTACCCAATAATACACAATTACAATGCAGTAGACACGACACATTGACTGTGGGAAAGATCACTCTTATCCATCCTGGCCATATCACCAGTGCGTTCAACGATGAATGATACATGCGCGGTTGTAGCATCTCACGTAATCAATTCACAACAAATAAAATTCACTGTATACATGTACATGTATGACCATGGTACATGTGCGGTACATGTATTGCTAAATGTACATGTATACTTGTAGGATGCCAAATTGATGCAAAGAATGTACCCATTACATGTGGAATTTAAACATGTACTGGTACTGGTAAGTTCTATCATGTCTATGCACTGTGTGGTACAGTATTTGTACATGAATTTGTGACCACTGTATCAATTGTTACACTGTGTGCTACATGTAGTTTAACAAAATTACAGGTGCTCATCATTAAAAACATTATGTCTAGTACAGGTACACGTACATGTACCGGTAGGTGTTGGACCTTTCATTATTTCATCATCGACTGTGAATGGATTCAGCCATTATGACTCATTGAGCAACCTTTACAGCCACCATCAGGAACCTTGCGAATGTTATTGAAATCCCATATCTGATACATACATGTACATGTAGTGTACAGATACATGTACAATGCTGAATCAACGCCACTCTGGACAGAACAGAGATGGTCTTGGGTCCCTCTCAGGACAGCAATTAATTATAAACTGTGACACTGGCAGACGGGTGAAAGTTGCAACTGAACAAAACAAATTTTTGGACACTTGGACAATAACCATTCAAACAAAAGTGAATTCTTTTGGCCAAACAACTAAGGTACCGTTACACAAACATGGAAATAAATAATCTTACCAAAACTATTGACTGGACGCAGGAATACCAGCAGTGTACATGCATGTACCAATGATACTGTAAAGGTAGCATGTCTCCTTTATTAATTTGATACATGGTACTGGTACATGTATATGCCACCTCATCCCATGTGACTTTGATGCAAATATGTATATGTACAATGTACATGTACTAGTAGTAGTTTCATTCCATGTGATGTACATGTATACTAGAACATGTACACGTACATATACATTTACAGAGTACATGTATGTACACATATGGCACATCAAAAGCTGACTTAATCCAAATGCTCACTGCATGCTGACTTAAGAGCATGTTGTTAAAAACTTTTACATGTACTTTCAACCTCTACCAACATGTTATTTTCTTCACACCCATGACACCAGATAATACAACTCCATCTTCCACAAAAGCATTTTGTTTTGATGAAAATTTGCCCACGGGGGACACCTAAATTAAAAAAATCACGCGTAGCATTCTCTGACTACGAAATTCTGTATCTCCGGTCACTCTTCAAAGGCATGCATCCCGACTCCTGAGAGTTTCTTTCCTTTTCTTTTCCTCACAGTTCCTGAGACTCCATTTCATCAAAACAATGTTGCCCCTTGGCGTGGCACAAACCATATAGTGATACGGGCGGCAAGGAAATGGTGGCCATTGTGCTAGTGGCTATGAAACAGTGCAACGCGGACACTTGGGGCATTGATAATCCAGTGGGAATGGCAGTGGCTGAAAGGTCAACAGACATCACCTCAAGGCACAAAAGTGCATTATGGGATGTGCTGAATATCAGGGACAACAGCAGTGCCACTGTGACGTGCACCGGAAACATCAGACTTTTTGACAATGACAGGGAAGTGAGGAACTCTCACAGAATTTAATTTTGTGGCAATTACATTTTTATCAATTGATAAAATGTCAAAGATGTGGTGCAACAAGACGGGGAAAGATGATGAATGAGATTCAAGAACTACATGTATACATGTACATGTATGCAGTTCAAAATCAATAAATACATGTAGGTACATGTACATACCATGTACATGTATACATGTACATGTATGCAGTTCAAAATCAATAAATACATGTAGGTACATGTACATACCATGTACATGTGTACATGTATACTATATGTGCATGTACATGCATGCACTTTGATTTGCATCACAGAGGGGGTAATGACACAGAATTACAGAGTAACTTGACCACAATGCAGAAATTTATTAGTCATCTTGATGAAAACCATTATGTTAATGTATACTGACATTACATTTTAATCAATACACGTAAGCTTCAGCTACATGCACACTTGAGACAATCCCAACTACAGTAGCTTGTGAAGTTGAACAATCCCATCTACATGTAAATGTATTTATACCAGTCTAGTGCTGCAGTTAGACCAGCTATTCACCAAGTCCAATGTACTGGTACCACAGTTGGGACCATCTCCGCAGCTGTCAATTACAAGTTACAAGAGACCAATGCAACGGCATTTAATTATGAGAAAAAGACAGAACTGTATAAATGGTAACTAAACATTCCTTCCTTGCTCAAAGGTACACTTTATGTAAAATATAAGCCCACATTTACAATGTAGGATGCTGTAAGATACAATGTCCATTTAAGATGCAGTGGAAGGTAAAGTCTCTGTAAAATTGTTTAAGGTTAGATCCACAGTTCAGAAAGTGGGCGAGCACTTGTACTGGGTTATACATTTGTAGGCTCACAATAAGTGGTCATCAGTTGGCACAAAAAGGATTTGTGTTGGACTATGCTCTATGGCTTCAAATGGCACAGAAACATGTACACAGTAAAAATATATGTACTAGCAAATCTCCATGCCATGAGTCATAGAGCCGGGTTTTCTACCTTAGATCGTTAATATGTGTAGGCCTAGAATAGTACATACATGTACATGAACATGTACAAATGTACTTTACGTGTTGAATTGGATAGTATTGTAATTCTTGATCACTAATATCACAATTAAGTGGGTATTAAGCGTGCATCAAAAAAGCAGCAGGGACATTCACTGAGAATGCCAACAAGAACATGTACATGTATTTCTGACTCCCTGTTGGACTCTCTAAAAGCTAATGTACACCTTAACCACATGTAGTGGGGACAGGAAACTTCAAAGGCTAAATGGCTGGAAGGTTGGCAGTTACTAAAGTTTCATGTTACCAAGTCCAAGTGACAATGTAGACATGACACTTAATGATTTCCTCACCGACATCATGAACTGACTCTCATCCGCAAGTGGGTGTCAGTTCGTGAAAACCACGTAAACAATTTCGTTTTCACAAACTGACACCCAAGCTCGTAAAAACAATACAGCACGAAGAAAAATGCTTGGAAAAGTTTGATATGAATCTAATCCATCTGTATAGGGCCTAGTACTTGTTGCATTGCACAAAAATTCAATGAAAAGTCGTTTTAACTGGTAAAATTGAGATCGAAGTCAGTTTGTGAAAACCTAAATGCACAGAGTGCGTGCTGAAAGTGCCGCACTGTACTGGGTGCCAGTTTGTGAAACGAAAATTCCTCAGTTCTCTAAAATGCGGACAAATTGGATCACTTCGCGCACCACTGGGTGTCAGTTCATGGTGTCTCCGACGATTTGTACAACAAAGAACCAGAGTGAAATACGACAATATAATGGTTTCTCTTAATTTTCAAAGCATATTAGCAAGAATACCGTGGTATAAAAATTCCACACAGTACAGTGTACATGTATGTGTATTTGGTATTTCTTGATCACCAGTGGGTATTTTTCGGCACTAAACAATGCCACTGTTCGGTAACATCGTTTAAACATCAGTTCAAGTTATGAAAGCATGTAAGGCACATTATCTGAAAGGGAATGCAATTGTGAACACAAAGTTGGACTTGTCGCAATAATCATAAATAATGGTAACTCATCCATGTGGTGCATCAGAACTTAGAGACTACCCCTAATCTTGCAGAGGTTCCTTTCTAAAAAAATTCTATACTGAGACAATATCCTTCCTCTAAAAGGAAGATTGTCTCCCAAAATGGGTATTTTTCTTGGGGATCCTACCGTTGCCCTGGAGATCTTGTCAGTGCGATAAATGGATTCATTGCAAATCCTGAGAAGCCGTAAAAAATTATGCAGTTTACATCTTTGATTAGGCCTATGAGCTGAACCATGCCTGCAAGGGGACATGAAATGTGGTTAACGAAACAAACTTCAAAAGTGTTGGAGGTTTAAATTCAGTTTACTGTACATGTACATGTGTAATGATCAACAGAAAATGACTGTTCTGTTGACGGCCTGCTGTACGTATGTATCCCTAGAAGTCTGGGGTTCGTTGTCCACAGCAGACGATGAACCCCAAATTTCTGGGGTATCAGCTGACCAGTGCTTGCTGTGAACATATTTGATAAGCAACATAAACCATGAAGATACTGGCACAACAACCATGCAATATTGGAGAATTCAACAGCATGACACAGGGCCACCCCCAGCTGCTGGAGCAGGGTTCGTTCGGTAGCACAGCGGACGACGAGCCCTACCGTATAGACAGTTCTTGGGTTGGGGAAAGGGATGATGGTAGCCAAGGGCCTCCATGTACATGATGTAGCATGCCAGGCAAAGCCAGACCATCATGATCGTGATTCAGGCAATTGGCTATCCAAGAGGAAGCCATTTGCAGGCCCTCCGCTACAGTTACTTACTACATGTATTTACCAAATCATACTCACTTGCAATTTTTCATAACCTCCTCTTGTGTGAGAATTTTGACAGGTGCAATTCTTTCCGTGTTCAGGTTGTAATTCCTGAAGCACACGGCGAGTTTGTCGTCAAAGTTGTTGACCAAATCCTCGATTGACATGGTTCGTTCATTAAAATTGTCCGGGCATATTTCCTCTTTTATCGACAAAACCGGGAAGGCATTTCCATTAGAATTGATGTCATCTGCAGAGGAGCCCCTGAACTCGATAAATTCCGGCCATTCTTCCGTGCTTGGGGTGTGTGGATCGCCTTGATCGTCGAAAATCGCAAGCGGTGCTGCCATTTTCTTGACTTGCCTGCGATGCACTTCATATGTTTTCTCCCGTTTATTACGAGTGCGGCGCGGCGACAGCTTGCTGCATGGGCTTGGTTCACTGGTCCCTCCTCCTTTCATTACACGACTGTGCGTTTGATGAATACCAGTACAGCGGGGACGATGCGTCAACGCATGATGCAGAATACAAATTTCATGCAGGTGTCAAAGGCTTCAAGGGGGAGGGGTGGAGTCAGGTTGGGAGGTACGCCGGATACACAGTGCCAGACGACCGCCGAGCGCGAAGTGGGGAACTCCCTCCATCAGTTTGTGCACAAACATAATGGAAGCTATAGCTCTGTTCTGTTATTGTAATATAATTAGCAAATTACATGTACAGATTTGCTCTAGTAATCGCACCTAATATCATGCAAACAATGAGTAAAATGGAATAACATAATGACGTGACAGATCCCAAAGATGACAATTTCCGAAGGTTTACCGAAGGCCCTTGCATTTAATTTAGTTGGGGAGCGCATACCCCCGTCCCTCCACCACGGCTGTTTTCTCATCTTTGTACACACGACAACCACTTTCATGTACATGTACTTTTGGAGGAAATCCAAATGAATGTTTACAGTTACGCGTAAAAACATATTGATATCTTCCCTTAAACGTATTTTCTTCAAAACATTTTTATATTTTATGATGTCATCATGACGTATCACACGTTCCAAATATAATTTAATATAAACAAAGCCAATTTTATGCATGACATAAAGAAGTAAATAAATATTCAAAATTTAAATTACTAGCTGGTGACAGTTTATGACGCCACTATAGAGTTTAAATACATGTATTTGTAACATTATGCTACTTCTCACTTGTTAATTTGAATGAATCAGACGAATGTACCCTAATAAGAATTTTTAACATCGCTTGTTTATGAAGTCTTCACGACTTCATATCATCAAGACCCCATCATTCATTCCTTGCGTAGTAATCACCCAATCTGCACATTTTTTTTCCCTGAAAAATAGTCCAGAACCTTTTCTCATTCTGTCCCGGTTACCAGAAGCTTTACATGCATCTGGCTGAGGCGGAGATCCCACCCAGTTTCGTACAACGTTCACAGTTCATTGGATAAAAATCCTCACCCCCTCCCCAGAAGGTGGTAGTAGAACCGTTTCTGAAATGCTGGCGCTTTCAACTCCTTAAAGAAAACGCCACCCGTACCACTCCCCCAAAGCTTGTTCACCCTGAACACTCCAAACTTCACTAAACTGATAAGGGAATTCACAACAGAGGTGCGGTAAGAGAGTATGGTATACGAGCGCTCGGCCGACATATTGATTTAATCTGGGTATTAACATATAATATATGATTCTCGAACTGGCCAGGGCTAGGGAAAAGCGTGCGAAACGTTTGACCATGGAGCTCCTCCATGGTTTGACATGGAAAAGAACATTTATATTAAGGGCATAACTTCAGAGCTTCAAGGGAGATTTGAAACCATTTTTATTTTGAGAAATCACTAAATTATTTCAAAATCTGCTGTGACAAAGCGCCTTTACCACCATTTGACGTTCTCGCATTTGCCTGAGGAGGAGCGCCTGTGTGCACAGCATGCAAGAAAATGTTAACTATGTAAAGTATGCGAACTACAAAGCGGGCCAAAATTTTTTTCTTCGACAAGACAATCAATTAATATAACTTATATATATTTATTGATGTATTATCTATTATTTTGTTGATTTTAGTTAAAATAAATTTATAAAAATGTTATTTTTAAATAATAAATATTATTTAGATTTTTAATTTGTACGAAATTTATTATATGGGGACTAAAATAACTTATAAGTACATATAGTTTGAACGAGACCGATCTGTCACACGCGGTCAAATCGAGGTCAGTGAAAAAATAATGACAAGACTGAGAGAAATGGTGAACAGAGATTTTGCCGGAATGTCAGAGTGTTGGCTGTTTTCAAAGCAAAAAGTGAGTATACGTGGAAGATAGTCAGAATTTTTATCACCCACGAGGTCACAGTTTTAAGATACATGATTAATTAAAAATTTAACAGTATAGGCCTGTTCCATGAAGATGTTCTGAGCCTGAGGCCCTTCATAATCTGTTCATCAGTTCATAAGCCTTACATGCCGTAGGCCTATCGCAATTAGGCCTAGGCCTACTGCAGCTGCATGAGTAATTTTGTATAATTGTGGAAAGGCATTGTGGGAAGGCAAAAGGTTCAATGTTTGCTCCTTTTTCCTTCCCACAATGCCTTTCTACCATTGTGCAAAATCATCCGTGCAGTGTTTGCGATAAGAAGTTATGCCCTTGTTATGTCTGGGCTCGTTCTACATACATGTTCTGTGGCTTGGTCCCCAAGCAATAGCCCCACTAGTAGTGTGGCATGCACTCTCACTCCCGCTCCATCCTTAGCCACACATCCGTATACGTAATTTCGTGTTGGCGTACTGAAAATTTTCGGCGCACACACTTATCACCGTGGCCGCAATTTCTTTTGCACACAGAGATGATCCTTAGCCTCTCTGCTTTCGTAGCGCCATTTATTGAATGATTTCACTCACGTTGTTCTGGTATTTTCCAGTTTGAGACGATGAGGGGTCAAGTGACGTAATGTTCAACGACCTTATTTTAAAGATGGCGACTGTGAGAGCGAGCCCGTGAGATTAAATGGGTGAAGGCAAAAAGACCGGAAAATACCAGAACAACGTGAGTGGAATCATTCAATAAATGGCGCTAAGAAGGAAGAGAGGCTAAGGATCATCTCTGTGTGCAAAAGAAATTGCGCCCACGATGATAAGTGGGTGCGCCGAAAATTTTCAGTACGCCGACACAAAATTACGTATACGGATGTGTGGCTAAGGATGGAGCGGGAGTGAGAGTCCGTGCCACACTAGTGGGGCTAGGGCCCCAATTCAAGGGCACTGCCCGAGTGGAAAGAAGTGATTTGGCCTCATTACTGAGGGTAATGCCACAATGGCGTCGTAATGCTGTGGGGTTTTGGATTTGAATTTTTGTGGTGAAATGGTTCACAGATGTAAGAAAGCTATTAGGCGTAGGCCTAAATCAAATTTTCCCGTCAGCAAACCTGCTTAATCAGTTACGCCTAATCTACATCTAGGCCTATAGGCCTACTTCTAAAAAGCAGGATAACCAAGTTTCAGAGCGTGAGACAAAGTATATAAAAAAAATAATTAGATTTATGGTCACCAATTTCGCGCTTCCTCCCGTTGACTGTTGCTCCGTTCATGCCGTTTGTGTTTATCAGACTGCGCATGCGTCAAACCCACCAATGACCGTGAGCGCTTGCTTCACATCTTGGCTCGACCATTTTTGGTGGTGGGGGATGACATCTTGTGTTGTTTTCGTCGCGGGACTGTCCTGGCTGCTGCTGTGACCTGAAAACACATATCGGTCGAGATGCGTGACGTGCTGCGCCGTGTAGGTATAGCTTGGACAAATACTCATACCTCGGATGACTCATACCTTGGACAACTTTTACCATGGGCAACTCGTGCCTTGGACAACTCATACCTTGGACAACTCGTACCATGAGTTAAGACTACTCGTACCTTCATGTTCACAATTCATTTGTAACTTTCTTGTTCTTCCTTTTCACCATGATGAAGATCATATTTGACAAACACTTCAAGGAAAAATCTTCATAAATCTCCTGGAAAGATCTCGAGTGCCAGCATGATTTTTTACCTAGTACCTGACGCGGGCGTTGGGGCCATCGGTTTACGTGACTGATGTCGAACAACCTGACCGTTTACCAACTTAACTTCCTTTTTTATTTGATGAACATTTTTAGTGGGGGGAGGGACTTTACTAAACTTTAAATTCTGGGTTTTTTTGGGGGGACTTCAATTTATTCTTATGGCTATGGAAAACCATTATTTTACTGGAGGTATGAGTTGCCCAAGGTGTGACCCGGCAAAGGTATGAGTTGGTACATTTATGTTGAGTTGATGGTACGAGCTGTCCAAGGTACAAGTTGACCTGTTCCCAATGCCACGATGACATGAGTCAGATGAGGCCTGAACAATGCTGGGACACTTGGCAATACCTTAGGCTTGTACTTGTAGCTAATAAAGCATGGGTAATTTTGCACAGTGGTAGAAAGGCATTGTGGGAAGGAAAACAGGGCAGTTTACTCCGTTTTCCTTCCCACAGTGCCTTTCTATCATTTTGCAAAAGTATTAGTAATAAGGCTTAGGGCCTAGGCCGAACGTTATAGCCATATGCTCTCCGTCCCCTTCCCCCACTCCCCGGTCAGTGCCATTTGAGCATAAATAATGAGCCCTGTGATTGGTCACTGTGACCCCCAGCGTGCAGCAGCCAACTGCCATTTCAACAAGTCAGTCCAGTTATGGCAAAGTAGAATTACACACACATAGGCTTAGGCCTGTGGAACAGTGTAGACATCTGGGATTCTCGCAAAATGGCAGACACCATGTCAGTGAAAATAGTGACCATGGTGACGTACGCATACACCAGCCAGTCTGAGGATCAGGTTACACAATCTTTTCTTTGATCAGTACATATGTGCGTGCGTGCTCGTTGCAGTTGTTTTCATTTGCGTGGTGTGGTTGCTACGTGTACACGTACCCGTAATTTTCTGAAACTCCCGGATGTCCGCGCTGCCCCAGTCGGAAAGTGGCAGCAGCCAATTTCCATACCTTGCGTATCGATTGCAGCTGTAGTCAACCATTTGGTAACGGCTTGTCTTCACAAGTACATACACTGTATGTAAACTGCATGACTCTCGAATGCTGATCGGGAAATATATGCACCTTTTATTTAAAATCAGCGTGGTTTTGGCCTTTTTTTGGTACAAAGTACGTAGGTGTGTAAGCTACCAAACATAGAACTCTTGAAAGGAATGGAGCAGCATTTCTATGGGTACATAACCACCACAAAATCCTTGTTCATGCTCTGTTTTTATGGGAGCGGGGCAGACATCAGACACCACAGTTTTGAGGGTTTGCATTGTAGAATATACATGTATGTTTGCAGGAGTGCATCGTAGACGATGCACCACAGTATTTTGCAGGATATCTGTACAAAATAGATTTCTTTTTAAACATGTGTCCATTTAGGACTGGACACACCAAAAAATCGTGTGACATTTCTGATTTTTAGTTATTCAATCATTTTGTCGAGAAATGCAATGATGATCTGTGACAACCTTAAAAAAAAAAAAGGAAAGAGACTCAAGTTTTTCAATGATATGTTGGCAATGTGCCTTGTGTGCATCCCGTGTACGCGCCCCTTTATTTTAGAGCATCCTATGGGCTCTGTTGGGTTGAAGGTGGAGATGATAGTGTAATCATGACAATGCTCGTGATGTTTTGAAGGTGAATTCAACGCATTTGACGTTCATTTCAAGTTAGTGTTAATTCAAATTGGCCAATGAGAGAGTTTTTGGGTACACCATAACCAGACCCTCCCCACACATACATGACATACATAAACAAGCCTGTGTAAACCCAGCCAATCCTGGAACAAATTGTGGGGACACTTGGCAATAGCCATATTCTCTCCAGCCCCCTCCCCCACTCTGCTAGTCAGCGTTGTCATGTCCAGCTGAAGTGCAAACCTGGTGCATAGACCCAACATTGAAAGGGTCTGGGGGGTTGGAGGCCCAACGAGATTTGTCCAGGATTACAGCATGCCTAGCTATGAGTATGAATGATGCTGGGCATGTTCAGCATGTCCACGCAGTCTATCGGTCCCTGAGTTGATGAATGGATTTTATTCCAAGGCAAATCAACTGAGGATGGAGTACAAAAGTTTCAAAATTGCGTTGAACATATACATTGGACATGTACATGTATATTAACTTTTAACCCATCATTTATGTCACATCATTAGTGAAATTGTGAATAGGCCTGCGTGTAGGCCTAAATCCAGGAGAAAAAAAAACAAAAGCGGAAACCTTTGATCTAAATAAAGGAATATGGTTGAAATGGAAAGAATAATGATTATTGTAGAGAATAGAGGTACGCTTTACTGGTATAAATGGAGATCAAATGTACAATGTATTATGCCCAACTTGTGATCACACCTGTCACACCTGCGCAGCACCATTGTGTACAATACATGTATGTGTCATTTTTGATATTCTAGGTTAGATTTTGTTTTGTAATATTCTAGGAGTGGTTGGTTCCGTACTGAAGTATGCAACAGTGAAGTAGACTCTTGCCTTGTTTCCATTAATGTGACTTTGAAATGTCTACCAAATCAGAACAGTGTAAGTACATGTAACACGTTTAAAAGATCCAGTGCGTATATAGTGTCCCTTGTGGTTACATTTATATGATCCAGGTATTTACTTTGTGGATTATGATTGGACAAAAATAGCACATGATAAAAAAGGAAAGAGTTCTATGTATGGACAACTCTTCATGCCCCTGTAAACAAACCTGAAGACTTGTTTGATTAAATCTAAGTGTTTTCTAAGTAAATGCTGTGACATTTTCTCTGCTAAATTTCACTTTTTAGGACGTTATCACTTTCTGACCGCTGTTACAACATTTGAAGGGAAAATTAGCGTTTTTCATATATGGAACTCTCACCCCCCCCAAAAAAAGCCAGTTTCTGAAAAAGTCAAGGGGTCACTCAGCTTAGTGACAAAAAATCTACTGAATCAATACGTACATCATTTATGCACCATCTTCTGTAAAGACTCAATTCATTATCTACCTGTATACGTGTACAATGCACATCTTCCTTTTCACCAATTTACGCAGGTTTCATGTAAGATTTTGTTTGTCATTTGCAATTTTCTCTCATTGACAGTTTCGGCTAAAATCCGTAACTTGACGGATTACCAGAACCGGATCTTGCACAACATAGCCCCCTTGCCGACAGGGACTGACATTGCCAATACATTGCGGTATTTCATACACACACTCAGAAGGTACATGTATGTTCAAATTCAAATATGGAATTTCACCCACTGTGTTAACCACTTGGTGTTGGGGTTTCCGGTACTGGACTCCTTGGTTTTGTATAAATAGCCGGGCTGCCCGAAATCAGACAAAGAGGCTGGGCCTTGTAACAAAAGACTGTACTTGGAACAAAAAACTTGCTGCTGGGAATTACCATCATTTTTCAGCTGGCATTAGCGGAGGTAATCTGTCATTGTTTTGAAACAGTATACCACAGTTATCACTGTGGACAAAAGTGCCCCAGCACTCCAGCGATGAGCGATACAGTACCGCTGCACACTCATCCGGCTGCATTTGAAAAGATGCCACTGGGCCAATTTCGGGAACAAAGCAAATTACGCAACACTGCGCAATCTAGGCTGTCTTTACTGGGCCGCAGGCCTGGCTGCAATACTAGAGCATCAGTGAAGGTTGCCTGTCAGATTAGAGTAGCCATCAAACAGTCATTTGTGTGGGTGTAAACCTTCAGTAAATGAAGTTATAAATTCTTGATGATGATGCACGATTACTCAGAAGAGCTCTTGTAGTGTGCTTGAATGTGTACTGTAATGAGATGGTAAAATCTTAAATGTTGAAAGCTTTGCAACAAGAGGAACGGTTCTTTCAATCAAGGCATGTTTGGTATTGTGTATATCTTTCACTTAGATGTCGGAATGTCTCTATAATTGACATTTTCTGGCATTTGAATGTTTGTTTTGTTTTGGTAGCATCTTGAAAGAGGCTCCTGCTGACCTAGGTGATGTGAAGCATTCTGCCCGGCGGAGGCTGAACCCCCGACTGCCCCACTACCCTAGCCTGGACTACCTTTGCCTCTATGAGACCCTAGACAGCCTTATTGAGATTGTGCCCAGTGTGCAGTATGGCCAATCAGGTAGGGAAACATTAGTTTTTACAATATTTTGTCTCTTGTTTTTAAAATGTTTTGTCTCATTGATCGATGCCAAACACTTTGGCAGTAATCCTGAGCAAGTGATAGGAAAAGAATTGTAAATAATCACGACACTGAAAATGCTCATAGCAGTGAAGTGTTCATGAACTAAATCTTTGGATACATTTAACATTTGCTGGCAGGAATCCTGCAAGGTACTGTACATAACTCCATATAATCTTAACTTTGTGTCTTATCACGGTCTTATGTTGAGGTTTAGCTGCAAGAACATCGCGGAGGTATCAATTGTCATTAAATCATATTGACATCCATTACTAACTTAATCAGCACATTTTTCTCCAGATGTACCCATTGCACCTGAATGATTAAACATTGGCAGGCTGCACAGGGTGCCATGATTCAAAGGAGGGGATTTGTTTCTTTAATCACTTGTGTCTGTTAACTGTATTTTGGTTCAAGCACGTTCATCTATTTGTATATTTTACTTGAGATTTTAGAGTTGCTGTACACTTGTGCTAATTGTGAGAGCTAATTGACTAACTTCCAGGATGATTGGAAGTCTCAAGAAATACAAAGTTTTAACCTTTACTTCTGATTACTTTCTGGTCATTTGCAGCGAATTTTGCTTATTAGTTGAAATGTATGCAACTTTTGTAAATTTTGATCCTGAATATCCGTTGTGACATGACAATTTTATATTCATTTTCATTTTGCATAAGGTACACACATATATATAAACTGGCCTTTATTTACCAAATGATGGGTGTATCAAATTGTTTTCCATCTTTGTCAAATTCATGCAATATGCAGTATGTTGTCTTCCATTGAGGGTATGTATGAAGGATATGCATGTATGTATATATCTTAACAAGTTTGATATAGATGTTTGGGATTGTTTTAAAACATGATGTTTTAGATGTACATAGATGTACATGTACATTTATATTAATATATTGATCGTTTTATTTACATGAAGTCCTTTCAGCCTCTGACAGTTAATCAGACACAAACATTCGTAATTACTTGATGCCTGTTCAATTGTACCATTGCTGTGAGATTTTGCATCACAGGGGAACGGCCAGGACTGGTCTACGTGTATTTCCCCCGATTACCTAACCTTGATCCTACCAAGCACTAGGATGGTATCAAGTTCCAGGTGGTTCCTATATGCACCTGTAGCACGGGAGATGGAGGAAGTGGAGTCTACCTGACTTCAGCATCTGCGGTCCATGTAGTTTGTTGGATTTTGTTTGTAGAAATTTTTATTTGCCTTTTAACCCCTTAACGGCGGGAATTTCTTGCCGAAAGCCAAGTCCAAGAATTACAGCCTTGCTTGGCCACGAAGGTCACCTGCCAAACCGCAAATTCTAGGTTTGTCGCCCTACGTGCTCTGGCATGCGGCTCTACTCACCCTTCCACATGCCCGTTGCCTCTTTTCAAAGTGGGGACTATTGTGAAGCTGGTGATTATGATGCAAATTCGGTCTTTTCATTTCTGGGCTACGCACAAAGACCAATTACCATATATACAAGAGCCAGGGTCTGCCTTCTTTCACCGTGTTCGCTGGAGCGTGGGTCGAGAATAATAGCTGAAAAGCGGGCTGAGGATCTCAATTTCTACGGCGTGTCTAGTCACCTCTCGGCACGAAGGGGTTAAGTTGAATCATGTCCTTGGTTTACTTACACATACATGTACATGTACCATTAGCTATTCATGGTACAACATGCAACTCATCTCAAGTTGCTTTCAGAGGGTTGCTTACGTGTTTTATTTTGTTGAGTTTGTGGCCATACGTGTACATGTAGTTATAATTGGAGTCTTGTACCAACATGTGATATGATCCGCGAAAACCTGTCACAAAGGAAAGTGTTAGCTTTTCAGCAAATGGCCCTCAAATACTGATGTTTCTGTTTCCACCTTGGTTTGAATTGCACCCTCACCGGCTTGTGCGTGTGCGGATTACATGCAAAGACTGAACATTCCAACATAGATTGGCTGCATGTAGTCTGGCCAACCCACGCCAAACATGCATGAACCTGCGCTAGCGTGCGTTGAGTGCTTACCAAAGAACTGTCGGTTCTACATAAAAACATGCCCTCACTTGTTTCTACTCAGAGCATATTATACACGTACATTTCTACACAGTCCTCAATAAGCATCTGCATGGATTTCAAAAGATAGATATGCTGTGTTTTTTTGCTCTTTTGTTATTCACTGGCGCATTGAAATAAAGAATTATTTAATCATAACTATTCCCACATTGAGTGCTCAGTTGCTTACTTGCCTGTAAAGTGTCATGTACGCTACATGTATATGTACATGTAGCTTAGAACTGCTGCATACAAGAGCCAACTGTTCTTTGCTTCAGTAGAGACCACCCAGAAAAAATTTTGATCAGTGACAAGTTGACAACGCACTCACTCCCACACTTTAGTTGTGGGGACATACTGTACACTCGATATTTCACCTACATGTATTTTGTGGGGATGGAAAACGTTGTGGGGACTCAGAAATGTCCCCAAAACTCAGTTCAAATTTCCCTAACAAAAGAACTTGTCCCCTGAACTTGGTGAATGCCTACCCACACATACACTCATTTACTCCTCTTCTGGACTGCAAGCATGGACTGGTTGCCTGTTCTGTAAGATGGTCTCTCCCTGTTCTGGCTGATGGAATGAAGTGGCAGCAAGGCTTGGCGGTATGTTTTCAACACATAATTGCAGATTCAGGGTGAAGCCAGTACCTGATGACACCTGTAACAGTACAGCATACATGTGTTGCCAGTAGGACTGAGAGATCAAGGTGGTCGAGTTTAGCTGGTTGTACGATGATGGTATTTCAAGGAACTGTAGTCTGTTAGTTTCACTATAATTGTTCATTGATGCCAGTACGTGTATTGAAAACGTGTTTGTATATTGACCATTTTTAGAACCTGCACTGAACTGGAGGTGAAGTCCATTTATCCATCTGGATCAGAGTTGACTCGGTTTCTTTGAAGAACTGAGACTGTAGCAAAATGATAGACCTGTTGTATCATTACAGCACATTTTATTTATTTAATTGAAGTAAATTGTGGAATTGTTAAAGAAGTCTTATGTACAATTTCTTCTTTTCTTGAGTCTTGAATTTTTGATAAGATATTCATCCACCGGACTGATTCCTGTTGCAGTGATCAGCAACTCATCCATTATCACAGAGCCATTTACCGGTACCTCAGTTCTAGGCAGTTGGACTGGCAGAGTACCGATACATGTACATATTAAAGCTGCATGGTTTCCAATAGTCCTTAGTGTCACCCGTTCTACTGGTACTCAATTGTGTGCTCCGTATGAAAGTCTGATACATGTGGGCATACAAATATTATGCAACTCGGTGTATCGGCCAATCATAGCCATTACAAAGTCATTTGCCCCCCCTCCCAGATGGTGATGGAAGATGTCAGTTGGACACCAGTTATCAGCTGATTCAAGGAATTAACCACTTTCTGCCGGGGACTCCGGAATCGGAGACGTATGGTTTATGTGTATGGCCAGGGTTTCCGAACTCAGACAAAGGAAACAGGGCCCTGTAACAAAAGACCGTACTCCGAACAAAAGACCAGGCTGCTGGGATTTATCGACATTTTTCACTTTCAAAAGTGGTGATAATCCAGCCTTGTTTTGAAACCGTATACGGGGTTTGGGGCATTGAGAGCAAGCAGATTACCACCGGGGACAAAAGCGCTCCACCACCGCTGCGATGAGCCACACAGCATCCCTGCACGCTAATCTGGCCCCTATTGAAAAGAGGTCAGCAGTGCTTTGAGCCACGTTCGTGAACAAAAGAAAGTTACATAACGCCGTACAATCTGGGCTCTTTTTACAAGGCTGCAAGCCTGGCTGAAACACTTGGGTGTCAATGAAGGTCACTTGTCAACTAAGAGTAGTGCCTAAAGATTACTTCGTGCGGCTATGAACGACTGTTAAATGAAGTGATTAATTTTTGAAGAATTTTGAAAACGGAAAAAATGATAGTCATGCCAGCCCAGCATCATCAACATTGAAAAATGCCCCGGCATGAAGTAGTTAAAGAAACCTGTGCTCTGCTGATATGGCATGCATGAGAATTGATCAACTTCAGCCTTATAGTTCATTTCTGATGATCAAATGGATTCAGCCAGACACAACAAGAATTCAGCTCACTTTTTCTAGCGAATAATTTTGAAACTTGTGAGAACAACAGTGGAGGAAAACAGAAAAACATTTTCACCAGGCACTGACTCTGACCTTACTGCTTGCATGAGCTATGCTTTGTAGCCAAAGGAACAATGGCAGATGTCTGTTTATTGTCAAAATTGGGAGGGAGGTGAGTGCGAGTTCTTCTTGAATAATCAATCATGGAATCTGCCTGCATGTAATAAATGTTTATCTGCAAAGTTTAGCAGATTATATTAAACACCGGCTCACAGAGAGAATGGAACATTGGAAGGATTGTTTTCAAGTTAATGGAAACCCCAGTTCTGGAATAGTTGTTGATTTCCTCAGTGGTGACAAGCGGACTGAATTTCATTGAGCCACTGTTTATTATTGTAATTAAACGTTTTGTTTAAAGTTAAGTTTAGTTTAAATTTATTTCTCATTAATGCAAACTCTTTTCTTTGATCCTTATTACTTGTGGTGGTTTTGGCCACAAAATATTTTCCAGATGTTGCTCATTATTCATTGATCGTTTGAATAAAATGTTGAACTTTAGGAAAACGTTGTCCTTGTTCCTTCAGATCCTCATTAGTTGTAGTGGCATCACCATAAATAATGTGTTTTGTAAATTGAATATTACGTAACAGGATGTCCTAACTACACAGGAAGCAAAATCACCTGTTAGTGGCAACTCGCACCTACAGTTGCTTGTGATGGTTTCTTCCGTAATTGAGTAATCTTGTCTGGAATTGATGCTGAAACATTTTTGACAAGAGTGCTTGATCCAGTTTCAAACTGCCCACAGTG